AGGGCTTCAGGGCCACACGGAATCAAAAGCCTTTTTGTGTGAGTCCTTGGAGCCTACCTGGCACACGCTGGGTAGTGGCTTGCAGTGGAGAAGACAGGCAAGGAGAGCCAGGAAGGGGAGCCCTGGTCAGATCCTGGCTCCAGTACTTTCCACCTCCGTGACATCCGGCAAGCTTTCTGCCTTCCAGAAATAGTTACTCCTCCCACCAAAGGGGCAGAGACAGATGCCATGGAGTGAAGGCTCCTTCCGCCCTCCTGGTGCAGAAGTCTTCCTGCTTTCTCCTCCAGGCCCCGCTGAGGCCAGCCAGGGTAGGGTAGTTACCCAGACCAGGATTTCTCCCACAATCGCCACCTCGTGTCACGTCTTCGGGCCCTTTGCCTGCTTTGATAGTTACTCTTCCCCTGTGAGTGCCTCCCCCTGGCCTTGTGATTACCACCTGGCTTCTCTAAAATATTTACCACTAATATTTACCAGAGTTACTAAAAACCCCAGTTTACATTACATGCTAAGAGAGCTTTTGTGCTAAAAATTAAGTTACTCAAAGATTAAGAACTAGGACGAAACTGATCCCAAGAGCTGCTGGCCCAGAAGCCCTCGATGTCTGGGTTTCTGTGTGAAGGTCTCAGGGTGGGTGTGGATCCCAGCTACTGTGGTCAGTGTGTGCACCCTGGAGGCCGGGCCTCCTGTCCAGGGACATGTTACACTGCAGACCGCTGGAAAAGGACAAAGAGAATGTCCCATTTGCTATTTTTACAAGATGATTACTGCTGAGCCTTGAGCAAAGACTCACCGCCAGTCAGGAGGTCTTTTGGATGCGGTAATGAGATAACCTGAGCCTGTAAATCAGCCAACAGCAAAGTCTGACTGTCGCGGGAAGCAGGAGTGAGGTCTGTGCTAAGACTGACAGCAGGGAGGGGCCTGAATGACTCACACACACACATCAACCTTGTGGGGACCACTGAGACAAAGAACTGGGTGCCTCAGAGTGGAGTTTGGGGCCCTGGAGATACGATCTACCTTCAACTCCAATTGTTCTTAAACTTCTTCCTTTAAGTTTGCAAAAAGTTAAGCTCTTGCTTTTTTATCTATGCAGTGAATATGTAAAAAGTGACAGCAGGAAATCTGGGAAAAATGGAACCTTCTCTTAGCACTTCAGGGCTTTTGTAATGGGATTCAGTGCCAAGCCAGCCTGGGGCCTGGGTAGCTTTGCAAAACCGTTCCTTCCCCAGCTAACTCTAAAAGGACAGAGTTTCATGCTGTTGACATAATTATGCCCTCTTTAATATTACTGTTTTATTTTTAAAAGCAATTAGCTAGTAAGGGTTTTTTTTGTTTTGTGTTGTTTGTTTTTGTTTTTGTTTTTTTTGCAGTAGAGAAAAGGAAATTAAGGATTTGGGGGCTGGCTTTTCTGGCTGAATTGTTCCTGCTGCATCTCACTGGTCCTGAGGTTTGCTTTCTCAGAGCTGGAATCCTGAGTTGGAAGCAGCCTTCAGGGCCCCGCCCCTGCACCCTTCCATGGTGGTCCACAGGCCTTCAGCTGGAGCCTGCAGTGCCCCTAGATCCACACTGGATCCAAGCACATCCCAGGGAGGGCAGGTGCCGGGGGCTGGGATCTTTTCAAGAGGTTATCTCATTAACCCATGGCACAGCAATGCTGTGAGGCTGGTGCTGCTTATAGATTTCCATTTTACAGATGAGGAAACTGAGGCACAGAGGCCGGATGGCTCAGCCATGTTCCCATAGCTAGTTCCTGTTGAAGCATGGTTATGCCCCAGTCTGTTTCTAAGCTCCTTTTTGGAACCTCCACCCTAGGCCAGGCTAGGTCATAACTAAGGTAGTCACTTCCATACATTGAGCACAGTGTTTTGCTTATGTTACTGATTCTCAGAGCAGTTCCCACAGCTTGGATGAAGAAAACAAGTCTTAGATTGCTAATTACCTGCCTGAGGACACAGAGCCAGTAGGAGGCTAAGCCGGGATAGAACTGTGGGTCTCAGCTTCTCACCCCTCCTGGTGTTACCAGATTCTTATATTCCCTAAACAAGTCATGCCTTGGAAATTAACTGCCCGTGGTAACAATCTTCCTGCTGAACTGTGAGTTGCTGTGGGGCAAGGACCTTGACCTGCTCGAGAGAACCTTCTAGGCCCACCCCGTGCAAGATGCTTGAACACCGGATGGGCCAGAGAGACCCAGGTCTGCTCTGCAGGAGACCTGGGCCCCCAGCACTGCCCGGGTGGTTACTGGTATTGTACAGAATGCTCCTTCTAGAACTGCCAGCTCTAGAAGGCTCTGCAGTTGGTGGCTGGTAGTCCCCTGTGACGGGAGCCCTCATGCCTGGTGTGTTCCTTACAAACATCCTCATCAGTAGCTCTGAGCGTTGGCTGTGTGGTTTGACGTAGCTGGTGGACACAGGGCTTGCTTGGTGTTCTGTCTGTGGGGCTTAGTTTTGTGTGTGGTTGGAGGGCCCTGGTGAGCTTGGGGAAGTACCAGAGAGCTCTGTGTTGGGGGCAGAGGGGCCTGTCACTGGAGCTGGAGGCTGCTTGCCTCTGTGTCTGCCTCATTCTGCTGCCTGCCCTGCCCCCTCGGGGTCTCGCCAGCCCAGCCTCTGTGGGAATCTAAAAGGAGTGGAGGTGGACGTGTGGCCAAGCACATCTCAGCTTTTAATACCCAGACTATTTATAGACCTTTGGGGGGATGGCCGTGGAACAGCAGGGGTTGGGGAGAGAGTTTAAAGAAAAATGCAGCAGGGCTGGAAAAAAAAATGAGAAAACCATTGCTAGGGCTGATATGGGCAAGAAAAGTGGCAAAGGGACTTGAGGAGTTACGTAACAGGCACTTCAACATAATTTCACTTTCTTAGAGACGATCACATATATTCTCAGTGCACATAAGCTCATTGAGAAACTCAGGAAAGACGGAGCATTAGGAACCCTGATTTGGGGAGCCGAAGGCATGTGCTCACCCTGAAGACATTCGCTGTGATGGTTAGCACATTTATAAAGCATCATTGGAGCTCAGTTATAGTTTGCAAATTCCTGTTTTCCTTTTATGTTAATGCATTTTAATAACATTATTATCTGGAACCCAGAGACCAGCTTTCTTCACTTAAATTGTGTTTCTACTTATTCAGCCATGTCAGCTCTGTGTGAATATTTCACTTGTTAGGGGGAGGTATACTTTCATTGAGTGACACATAAATTCTGGAAAAGAGATGGTGGATTACTTGAAAATTAAATACAAGTTGAAAACAAGTCCCCGGGTCCTGATCCAACCCCGGCCCTGGAATTTCTTTGAGTTGGAGAAGTGGCCCCAAGGTGGCAGGCAGGGAGCAGCGACCCTACCTGAGAATGCTGGACCCTGGCTGGTCCCCCGTCTGCTGGGAGCTTAGGCCGCCCGCACAGAGAAGGGCTTTTCCACTGTCGCTGAGCCCCGCCCCTACCACCTCCCCCAACCTGGAAACTCAAGCTTGAGTGACATTGACTCCTCCCTTCCCACCGGGGTGACAGCTGAGGGTAGCTAGCTGTAGGAGGGTCAAGAGGGTCCCTGTAGGATGGTTTGGTCCCAGTTCCTGATTAAGGCAGGGGGCCTTCCAGCCCTTCCCGCTGCTGTCAGACTCCCCGCCGGCCACAGAAATCGAAGTTCAGAGCAAGTAACCACGCCCCTCCAAATACAAGAAAAGGGGCCAGAGAAAGTGGGGAGCCTCAGAGGGAGTTTGTCAGGACAAACTGACATTCTTGCGCACCCTGCAGATCCAGCTCTAAAGCTGCCACTGACGCATCAGTTGTGGGACAGATTATTTGGAGGTTGGCAGATGGGTCTGGATTCAGAGAACGCGCGTGCTTTAGCCTCTCGGCTGCCTGCGTGTGATTTCGCTGCCACAGGAAAGCATTGGGCAGAGATGTTTCTGACCAGTTGGCGTGAGAGTTGTGTTGTTGCGGTTGTTGTGGGTGTCGTCCCTACCCCCAAGCCCTGGGCTCGTCATATGGGAGTGGGAGAGCAAGCCCGTGGGACTATTGCATCACCGAGGCTGGAGTCACTCCCTAAGTGAGCTGGTGCAAGGCAGCCTGGGAGCCCAGCGGGTGCGCCGGTGGCCTCTGGCGACATCCTGCCCACGAGGGCACACACAGGCTCCACACAGTCAGCCTGGGACACTGGGGAGAGACGGAGACATGCTCCCTTCCTAGAGGCAGTTGCGATTTAAAATGCCATCTTGCTCCTCTGACTGCTTTTTCCGGGCTGTTGAGGTGAGGATTTTGTTAAACACACATGTGTTCTGAGCAGGGTGCATTCCTGCGGGGTCATGCCTGGGACGGGTAGACTCCCGTCCTCTGGACTCTACCTCTCTGTACTTTGGTCTGGAGCTGCTCAGTGTTCATGGGTTTGAACGGTACTGGGCAAATGAAGCTTGCTTGTAACTTTGTAGGGGTTCGGGGCTAAAGAATCTGGTGAGTGTGCTTCTGTTATGCCCTTCTTTTGAATTAATTCATGTCCACTCCACCCTGAGCCTCGGTGTCTGTGAGGTGCCACTGCTGGACCCTGTGCCCTGGGAGAATAGGTGGACTCGCCAAAAGTTATGATGGGGAGAGGGACATTCACAGAATTTGTTGTGCTTTGATTGTTTTTTCAATTGGTTCATCTGTAAAATGTCCAACCCCGAGACCACCAGCGGTATTCTGAAGGAATCCTGTGAATCCTGTTGCTTCTGAAGACAGGCTTGGTGGTTTAGCCATGTGCTGTATGTTCACACGATCACCCTGGGCATTTTAAGAGTGTCACGTTGTAATCCTACCTGCTCTGCCCCCAGGAGGTGGAAAGGGGAGGCGGGGAGGGAGAGTCATATCCCTGCAGCTGGTGGGGACCTGTTGGCTGCTTGGAAAAACAGTTCCCGTGTGTTGGAGCACTACCGTTCTTAGTTTTCTTCCGTTTTCTTTTGTTTCAGTTTTTATTTCTTGAAAACCTGAAGTTGTTTATCTGTAAGTATCCCCTTTGTGTGTTGCAGGATGTTAAAGTCTTTAGTGAAGATGGGACGAGCAAAGTGGTGGAGATTCTAGCAGACATGACGGCCAGGGACCTGTGCCAGCTGCTGGTTTACAAAAGTCACTGTGTGGATGACAACAGCTGGACGCTCGTGGAGCACCACCCGCACCTGGGATTAGGTAGGGAACCGCTGGAACAGGAATGGCACCCGGGGAAGCTCGTGTGCGACCCAGTGGGGACCACCACTGCCAAATGCCAAATGTCTGACTGCACTGTCTCCTTCCAAATGAGCAGGCAGACTCTGGGTTGCCCTCGACTCTCCTGCCTCTTCTGTTTCTCCTAAAATTTCACTTTCCTCCCCCCAGCCCCCTTTCCCTAGTGTTTTGGGAATCTTGCCTTGGATGGTTGAGGCAATGACTTCCCAAAGGCTCAGACACGGCGAGGTTCTCTGTGGCTTGTACAGTCTCCCCAGCTGTCAGAGCCACGGGGATCTTGCCGCACACCTGTGGGCGGGGACAGGAGGGAGGCGCCCTTGAGGCGCTCTGGTGAGAGCCGGCCTTGCACAGGATTGCAGCTGCCCTTCTGAGAGCAGCTCCTCAGCTGATGGAAGAAGGGAGCCATGGTTACAGGCAGCAAAGTGCAGAGAGGTCTGCTGGGAATTGGAGCCCATTATGAAGCACTTTGCTCTAAGTTAGAGTTGAGTGTTAACATGGCATCTCTGCTCGCTGGTTAATAATGCCTTCAACAGCGTACATGCACGTGTGTGTGTGTGTGTGTGTGTGTGTGTGTGTGTGTGTGTGTCACGCACAAATGTTGTGCCTGAAAAGCAAGAGAACATTTTGTATCACACAATATTTGAAGATATTGGCTATTTATTGAGCTATTTTATTCAGGTGGCTTATTTTAGGTAAAAAAGCTTTTCAGACTTTTGCTTAAATTCTTATCGGATAAAATATAGTTTTTACAAAGTCATAGGGAAATATTTAAAACCAGAATTTTATCTAAATCAACAGTTATATTTCTCCCATGTCTTGAAGGAGAGAAAAACAACATAGGTTGGAAACTTCCCATCATTCTAAATTTTTCTCATGAAGCTCTTTTGAAAGGTTAAAAAATCGAATTTAAGCTTCTAGGTCTGGAATATTTATTTAACTGAATAGCATTCTTCCAGGTAATATTATACAATTTAAGCCTAAATAATGCAGTGTAAATTTGAGCTGATGTCACCTTAAGTCCGTGTTTTGTAGTGTGCCCGGTACTTTAGGTACACGGTATGCAAAGGAATCATATAGAACTCTTGCTGGTTTCTCTCCCATCTCTACTGATTGCCAGATGCATTCGTGTGAAGACAGAAGCCTTCTCCTCCATTGTCACTAACAGCTTTCTCCTGCCAGCATCACTCATTAGGTCCACAGTTAGTGCTGTGGTATCACAGTTGTTCCCATGGAGACTGGCTGTCCCGTCAGCCGCCAGCTTGGGACGTCCATGAGTGGATCCTACTGTGGTCTGACAAGGCTGCCAAAGCACCTGCTGACACACAGTAACTTGGAAATTAAACAATAGTGGGAAACCTTCAGCATATGTCTCTACATGTGTATATACATGTATGAAAATATATATAATATAAAACCTTAAAAACAAGTCTGTATAGTTTGACAGTGATTATTGTTGAAAGCCCATTCAAAAGTCCGATTTTTTTTTCATTTGAAAGAACTATGGAAGGGACTTCTGCAGATATGTAGTACTTGAATATAATTTGACACACTTAGGACATGTAGGAATTGGGTACAGATGTACATACATAAAATTTGAACATACAAGGAATGTTTCAGAAGTTTTGAGTTATCTATTTCATGTGATACCTTTGATTTCCAGACTGTCATGTGGTAGATAAATAAATGGTACATTAAAACTTTAACAATAACCAGATGAAGAACCATTACTCAGAGAGAATATGAAAAGAAATGTGCATAGGTAGGCACACAGGATGTGTAGGGATGTGATATTTACACACCTTGTCTCTTTCTCTTCTTTATGGATAGACTTAATACACTCTAGGGGAGGATGATACTTTATTTTGAAATTAAGTATAAAAAGGAAAAAGGGAAAAAGAAGCAAGTGAAATGATCAAAAGGAAAAAGGAACATTTGTGTCAAATTTTAGGTCCTCTTACACACACACACACACACACACACACACACACACACACACAAATTAATAAACCTTACACAGCCAGGATACCTGAAATCCCTTAGAATATCCTTCCTCTCCTTCCTCAGTTTTCTTTCTCACCACCAGTTCCATTCTTACTAGTGACTAGTAAACACATTTTTCTATCGGCTGGGTTTGCAGAGGACTTTGCAAGTTTTTACAGCCAGCAAGTTTCCCCAGCCTGTAAGGTCAGCACCCCCCGGACTCATTCCGATCCACACAGAGCTTCTGCGTCCCCATCCCTGTAACTTCTCTGAATACTGTTTTGTGACCCAGCCTTATCACTTACTATTTTTTTAAAAATTGATTTAAGTTGCTATTTAACTAAAAATCTTATTTCTGCCATGATTTGTCAGCATTCAAGTATGAGAAGCTCACTAGTGAGAAAACACAGGGCTGCAGGGTGCCTCTCAGAGAGCCCGTTGGGCATCTCAGCTTCATCCCCCTTGGACTGGGACGCAAGAACCACAGGGCCAAGAGGGGATTCTTCTTCGTTGTGGATGGTATTCCTGGGCCCTTCTGGCCCTCTGATTCTCAGGGCACATCCCCAGACATTGCTATCTCCTGGTGGAGAGCACTTTCCTAGGTAATTATATGTCGGGTATTCTCACAGGGATGTGGACATATACCAGGTGGGTGGCAGGGGCAAAAGCCAAGCAGTGCTTGCAAATCCATAAGGCAGATACTAAGGCAGATTGTAACCCAAACTCCCCATAATTGAGGGTGTAGGCCACCCAAGTTGGATAGCATTTTAAGCCTATGTATAGCCTCCAAAATTGAAGTTTTCAAAGTATAATTATTACTGTTTGAATATCCCGAATTCAAAAATCTGAAATCTGAAATGCTCTAAAGTTTGCAACTTTTTGAATACTAATTTGATTCTCAAAGGAAATGCTCATTGAAGCATTTCTGATTTTTGGATTTTGGATTGTTCAACTGGTAAATATAATGCAAATATTCCAAAATTAAAAAAAAAAAAAAAAAACCCAAAACCCAAAGCTTGTGGTCCCAGGCATTTAGGATAAGGGATACTCAACCTGTATAAGGATCTTAACAGCTAAAGTATCAGTCCCTTAATAATAGTAAACCTTCCCAGAAGGAAGTGATAGCTTTAGAAAAGGTGAGGGCAGTTCCCAAGATAGCCTGCAGCAGGTGGCTCCCTTTCCGTGGGAGAAAAGCCCCGTGCGTGGGTGTCTGCAGTTTTCAGGGCACCGCTCCTCTGCAATGCTGGTCACCCTCCATTGGCAGCAACAGTGGCATCCCTGCTGTCACTCAGGAGAGCAGCTCCTCTGGCTGGGGGCGGATTGTCGTGTCCCCTCTGCACCGTGCTTGTGAGCAAACAGAGACGGACTCCTATGAGCAGAGCAAGGTCATGTAACCCTTCCCAGTGTCAGCTCCTGGGGACATTCACCACTGGAAGCACTTGGAAAAGTTGTTGCAAAGCCCTAGTGACTGATGGTCTGTTTTAAAATCCCAGTTCACTCGTCCCTTTAAATGGTCCCTTTCTGTGTTAGCAGTATCCCCAGGCTCTCCCAGTCTCAGTGTCTGAAGGGGAGCTTTTAGCCATGAAAACACTGTCCCTGACCCAGGGCCACTCAGCAGCCGACAGTAAGTCCAGCTGGGGCTGCCGGAATGGGGCAGGCCTTTTGGAAGGTGTCTCCATCCCTTCTGCCCTGAGCACGTGAGCTGCGAGTCTCTGGAAGGTTCACTTTAGGCAATGCAGCCTCACACATGGAGGACGCAGCCATCTTAAACAGTCAGCCTGCAGACATATCAAGTAAACAAATTATATTTTAAAAGGAATCTTTGGCCAGGCACAGTGGCTCACGCCTGTAGTCCCAGCACATCGGAAGGCTAAGGCAGGAGGATCACTTGAGCCCAGGAGATTGAGGCTGCAGAGAGCTGTGTTCTCATCACTGCACTCCAGCTGGCTGACAGAACAAGACCCTGCCTCAGAAATAAAAGATAAAAGGAATTTTTAAAAATACAAAACCAGTATCTTGATGACCCCTGAACTTGAAAGTGGGATTGCAGATAAACCCATCCCTGGGAATGTGGAGGCATCCATTGCCTTGGACTCTTGCACCCAGGCCCCAAGTAACTGTAGACGTCAGGCAGACTAAGGCCAGAGAATCTGGGAGAAGTTGTAACTTACGCAGAGAACACAGTAAAGAGAAGAGGGTGTCTGCCAGATCCTCCAGATTTCAAGGATTTGAGGAATTCTGTTATCCCAAGGATTCGGCTGAAACAGAAAGAGCAACGAGTCCTTTTCGGTTGTTGACAGCTTTGCATTTGTTCCTGGTCAGATGAGAAACGCCGTGGCAGTAACCGGAGGTGCTGTGGCTGCCACGCTTTTGGATGCTGGCAGCTTGACATGCAGAGAGGTGTGGAGAGAGAAACAGCCGGCACCTGTTGACCCTTGCAGATTAGAGGGGGCCTTTCACAGGCTGGTTTTATGTCTCTGTCTCCCTTTTACATTTGAAAAGCAACAAAAGATGTCCTTTCCCCCACTAAAATCTGTAAATAGAAAGAAGTCTGCTTATGGGCTTATCCACATGTCAGGGCTATCTCACTGATTACTCCATTGACAGTTTCTTAGCCTGGGAAAGCCCTGAGCCTGCCAACAGCTCTTTCTCTTCCTCGGATGGGCTGTGCTGAGGAGCGATGGGCAGGGGGTGGCCCAAGGGCCGTAGCTTGGTGTGAGGCCGAGACGGTGGGGTGCGTGGGCTCTGTGTGCCGGCTCTGCCACAGCCCCTCCACTGCCAAGCGGGCAGCACATCTTTCTGCCCAGGAATCACACTTGAGCTACAAGGGTAAAGGCAAGGAGTTGTCTTTTTTGAGTTGTCTTGATATTGAAATGCTTTTTCTTGAGGAGTAGAGTAATGCCAGCCTTAGTTTCAGAAATTTGAAAAATACAAATATACTTCAAGGAATTTTTGCCTTTTCCATTTTTTCAAAAATTACATTTGGAATATTATCTTGAAAAGTAGCATTCCCATTTAACTCTGGGCCATTGTAATCATAGCAGCGTATAGATAGTGATGTGATTGTTTAGAATCACGCAAGGTCATTTGAAAATATATGTCTTTAAATCACAGGGAAAATTAGAACTGGGGGAAAGATCTTTGAACATATATTGTGTGGTCAGTAGCCGACTGGAACACTGGTTCCCCAGGGCATTTGTGCTGGGGGCATTCAGCTGCATCTGGAGGCTGCATAGCTCTAGATCTCTGAGAAAGGGGTCACCGGCCACATTGTGTTGGGTGACCTGCTGTGAGTGAGGAAAAGGGAATTGATGTTTCATTTGTCTTGGGACTCACCTCTGGGGATGCTAGGTGCCCTCTGGGGTCACCAGCATCAGAAAAGCACACTCCTTTCAGTATACACAGTTGGTTTGGCAGCCCACCAGTTGCCCCAAGTTTCTAGGCCCCCTTTGCCAGGACACCAAGCCCTCACCTGTCCACCTTGACCTGACCACCAGGGACACAGCCCCCCCCCCACTTGTGTTTACACTGCCATGTGCAGCTTGCCCATGGTCTTTCCAGGGCAGGCGCAGGGAGACAGGAAAGTGCTGTCCACAAGGATGGGCGCCTACATGGGCTTGGCCACCCCCTTAGGGCTGGGGGCTGCCCCAGGCTTCCTCTTTGGCTCCCCTTGGGGTTCTTTGGAGACAAAATGTCCTTTGCTTTGGAAACAGACATATTCTCCCCACTTAGGTAGCTGTTGCCTCCCATTTGTATTTCTCCTTATTTGCCTGATAAAAATTGTTAGTTCTGTAAATCAGCCATCAGCAGGTTATTAGATTGTTGGTTTTGGTTTGGGGTTTTTGTTTTTTTCCTGTAACTACAGAAAGACATTTTTCTCTGAATAAACATCTCAATGGAAGTCACTGATTTGTTTTCCTTCTGGAAAATCCATTTTCAATGAATGACCTCGAGCCCAACCTCCTTTTAGAAAACAAACATAACAGTTTTCGTCACGTGTTCTTGGTTTCTGTCCTTTTCTGTGATGGGGAGACACGAGGGCCATAGATTGGTTCACATGTTGCTAGCAGCATTCTCTCCAAGACATGGACAAATGGGAACTGCTCCACACTTGCTGGTAGTGCCAAGTCTGAGCTTTCTGGCAGCCATGGGGAGAAAATTCCTTTTCTTCACAAAGTCTGGCTTTAAATGTGTTTTTACCAAGGAGTCCTTTCCTTGTCATGTTAAAACTGAGGCGGAGCACAAATCAGCTCAGAATTTCCTTCTGCATACCAGTCAGGGCCATCAGAGATGCATGCCCATGGCCACAGTTGTTCTTTGTAGACCGGAAGTCTTTTCTGCATTCTGAGATCACTTTGACTCAGAAATGCTTTTGCCTTTAACTTCATTCCTTCCTTCCAAGATGAAACTTTTCTCAAGATTCCAGTCTGGCAGCAGGAGAGGAGGGTAGGGGCTTACTAGGACGACAGAACTGCCCTGTTGTCGATTCCATAGCATGTGAATCCGTACCGTCTTGGCATGAGTTCACACATTGACCCTGGCATAGACCTGCTCATCTTGTTTATTCCATGATTTAACAAGGTTAGTTTCACATGGCCACCACCCTCCCGTGACAGTTTCTGAGGAGGCGCCTGGGAAGGGATGTAACTGCCGTGAAAGGGAGCAGTGGGGCCTCTCGAAGCGCACACTGTTCGTCCCACTCCGCCTGGAATCACTGTGTTCAGGCAGTGAGGGAAGCGACCTTTCTCTTCCCGGGAACAGTGCTGCTATGTAAGATGCTGTGAAGGTGCGTGTGCGTGTGTGCGTGTGCACAGTGGGTGGTGGAGCATGGAGTGTGTTCTCTTCCCTGCCTTCACATGTGATTCAGTCGACGAGAACTGTTCCATGATGTGGCGTGTGTGGGCTTCAGCGTGAAAGATGAGTATGTCTCTGTGTACAGTCTCCTGTTCATCACGGTCCCTCCCTCGGTATGTACCACCATCATTTTAGGCAACCAAGTTTCGTGTCATCAAAAAGCTTCCCTCTGCTTCCATCTCTGCACCGTCTTTGGTCATCCCCTCCTTCCCCACCACTTTCAAATCCTTTTTCCTTTGTCTTTGAATATTTTCTCACCTGTTATAGTCTGTTCTTTACACGAGTTGAAATTTCTTAAGGGAAAAATCATTTGCTAAGATTCTTATGGACTTGTTCCTTAACATCTGGCGGATGCCAAATTCAAAAGAAGTATATAAGAATAAGTATTGGCCAGGCGCCGTGGCTCAAGCCTGTAATCCCAGCACTTTGGGAGGCCGAGGTGGGTGGATCACGAGGTCAAGAGATCGAGACCATCCTGGTCAACATGGTGAAACCCCGTCTCTACTAAAA